GGTGAAAGCCATTGTTCCAATGTCTTTTCAAAATATTTTTAAGCATTCAGAAGCCATAAAAATATATTATTTTCATAGATTTTTGTATCTTAGAGTTGTGTTGTGTAGGATTTCCTCTTTTAGTCAAATCTCTGAGAGCCAGAAATTCCAATTACATACTATAAGCTTCCCATCCAGACACATCCTGAGCCTTCTCAGTCCTTCAAATGAAAGCCAAGTTTGTATTTTTACAATAAACCTGTGTTTTAATGTATTTTTCATGATTAACACATCAAAAACTTTGCTCCACCAAAATCCACATTTTCAGAGTAAACCGTGTCTGACATGTAGTAGTTGGTGGGAATCAATGCATGACACTTTAAACCACTTAACACATGGTATCTTCAATATTGTAGATTTCTTTTTTGGGAAACAGGCAATCCAAGATTTCTTTTTTGTGTAGGAAAAAAAAAACAACAACAGTGGGATAGACAGTCAACACACCACCTCACATAAGAAGACACCCCACAAGCTGCAGGAACCAGTGAGAATTCATTTCCCTTCTCTTTCTATGCAGTCACTACTACCTACTACAGTCCCTGTGATCATTGTTGTCATTAGTTTKGATGTTAGAAAGAAGAATACAATATAACTTACTAGTGATGACCTGTTTTAGGTCACAGGCACTTCTGTTTTTTTAATGTAAATGTATACAAGGAAAAAAGAGAGAGAGACCCCCTCAATTGAATAATTCACTCCATTTTTTTGTTTTAAAACAAACTTGACCTTGACATTTTCAACAAAATTTTCATAAAGATCCTGATATCGGGGCCTTCTACTTAAAATTTGGGTCACTCCATGCTGGTGACACCATTTTACAAATGGAAATGAGATAAGATGGGCAAATCCAGAAAAGAGGGAATTTGCTAGTGTTTCTGAATACATGACGTGATGATTTTGCTGAGTGAAAATAATAATCGTGTGTGTGTGTGTGTGTGTGTGTGTGTGTGTGTGTGTTTAACAATGGCTGTGCATCTTCCTGGATTGGAAATACTCCCTCTTTCGTAATTACCAAGTCTCGGGCCCCAGCTTTCTGGCTGCTCCTGTTGCATGCAGGGTCAGGGTTATCTTTGTGGTTTCCTCTGGAAAGGGCTGTGCATTAACATTCAAGTTTGGGGAGGAGAGTGGAAGTTGAAGGAAAAGGTGTTGATTCAGATGTTATGAAACTGCGATAATGCTATTATTTAAGGCACTTATTTGGGTGTGTTTGTACTTTGTAGTTTTATAAATAAGCCCAAGGGGCTCCTCGGGAGTCTGATCCTCCTTGAGTCTCGTATCCTGTCTGTCTCATCCTATCCGACAGTAGAAGTGATGCCGCTCTAATCCCTGCAAGTTCGGAACTAATGAACTGACTGCTGAGCTGCCGCCACGGAGCTTGGTCCCAAACTATACTGTACTTCACACTCGATTTATTCTCCAGATGGCGAGACTGTGCCGCCCTGCCGCGAGGGACCACCTCTTCCACTGGAGTGTAAAAGTGGACGGATGTTGTTTTCTTTGCAGATTTGGTCATTCTGAGCTGGAAACTTGCGAGGATGATTAGTTATTAGCTTTAATGGGTGCCAATGGAACCAACTGCACRCAGATTTTCTCCTTTAATTTTGGAGCCTGTAGATCTCGGGGATGGTTGATTTATCTCTTTCTGACGTCACCAGAGCGTGTCTCCTCCCCAGGTGATAAGAATCCAGTCTCTGAAATCATAGCACGCCTTGGTTCCTGGCCCAGACACAGTCACATAATACGATGGCTTATGGATAAGGACAAGTTTATTAGCCCCTGGTCCACTGCACTGAGCAGCCCATGGCACGGAATATCGATTGACTGCGGGAACTTGGGGAACACCACTTTTTAGAACAGGGTCCTGCAGAGAATCCGATCTGTACCAACTTTCTCTGCAACCTCCGCAAGTGTGGGATCAAACATGCTTCAGAACACACCATGGCGATTAGTCCCTTCGAAGATCTGATGTAACCATTGGTAAAGGCCTTAGTTCCCTTATTTGGTCTTTTCCRGCTTGTCAGATCTTAGGGACACAGTTCATTCCACAGTGAGAACACTCCACCAGGGTGTCCCAGTGTGACACCTTTTAAACCTCATTGTGTACAACCTGAGTTGCTTCCAGGATCTAAGTTCCCCACCAAAGTTCTTTCTCAAGTGGCCTCTTTATTTAAATTTCCTTTTTCTTCTGTCCCCAGGAAGCGCTTCCCACCCCCAGTCCACCAGGCCACCCTGAGGGCACTCATCCACCTGCACAGATGGAGATGGAGGGGTGAACAAGGCAGGAGGAAAGAGTGAAGGGGACAGAGGGATGGAGATGAGAGAGACTGTGGCAAGAGGCAAGGTGTGTGTGTAGAGGGAGAGGGAAAGGGCAGAAGAGCAGAATTTCTTGTTTTTCACAACTGGGCCGACTGTAACTCCCTCTAACTAAACACCCAGCATTAAACTTGATTGTTCTTAGAAACTGCCTTCCTTTCAGCCCAACAGATGGCATGGATGTGTTTTGCTAGCAGTAACATATTTCACCATTAAAATACCAAAAAGAAAAAAAAATCAACATGCTTGTTGGTTGGTGTAAATTCAATGAAGTTGTTGGGTATTTTGGGATACATACCAGAGGGATGCATACTTAGTTTATGTAAATTGCTACAAGCAACAGCCTGTTAATAAGGGTGTTGTATGGCAATATACCTCAAAAGCCATCATCTCTTTTTGGAAAGGTACAGCGTGATGAAGTGGAAAGAGCTTGGTTTTTAATTCTGAGCCAAAAAAAAAAAAAARAGAGAGAGAAAGAAACCAATAAAATGCTGAGTATTCACTGCTCATTATTATAACATGAAAAGTACTAATCAGATTATGCCTAAAGTTGGAGTTAGGGACTTCATTTGGAGCCAATTTCGCAGAGGCTGAATTTTACTAAGTAAACCGGAATGTGCTGAAACCATGGCAATCTGACTTTAGATAAAAATCACAACCAGGTTTAGAACACGAGCTTTGAACAAACAGTCCCCTTCAAATCCAAATGAAACCACCCAACAGCTCCTCCAGGTCAGATTCAGTTTGACGCCAACATTAACAATTCAGGAAGTTGATRTTGCCAGGGATCCTGCAAAGTTGAGCACACATGCAGATTACAGGATGGAGATGAGGACACAATGATTTTAAAATACATTTCGGCCTAAACAACCTAGTGAGTTCCCTTCAATTTTCCATTCACTGTCCTAAAGACCCTTTGCAAGGAGTCTGACTTGCTACTGAAAGAGAATCTAGAAGCTGGAAAATGTTTACAAACTGGAGCAATCCAGGGTCTGTAGCTGTCCGGGCTACATGGAGCATGGTGGTCTGGGTCCTCTGAGGCTATGGATCTAAAAGCCTGCACTGCCGTAGAAGAGGAAGCATTTCTCCTGCAGCTCTAGGCAGCCTTGGAACCATGATATCAAGCTAACTCTTGCAATGGGCCCCAATGTGTTTCCATATCTAGTTCATGGTGGAGCTGGAGTTTTACTGTTGTGGAGTAGCCAAAGGCTATTTGATTTGGAACTGAACCATCATTGACTACTTTAGCTGACATGAGCTCTCTTGCTTTTGTCTAAACTTGGCCTAATTTTTGGCAGTCGAAGCTCCATAAATCAGGACTTCACATAGCTGTCCTCAACTGGTCCTCAGCACTGTTTCCATCTGACCTGACAAACGCTAAGCTACCGTTTCCTCGCGCTGTTTAACTCAGACCACATTTGGAGCCTTCCTTGCTCCACTCTGTTGTAGAACCACATCCGTCTGGTTTAAATCTGTGTCCCAGCTTGTCTCGTTGATTGGACTTAGACTCCGCAATGGCTTAAATAATTCTTTCTTGTCTCCGTTTTGCTATTTTCCTAGATAAGTACTGCTATTCAAATGGCTATATATTGTTAAGACTTTTTTTTTTCCTAAACCATATTCATCAGCAGTGAGAGGCTTTCAAGTTTTATTAGTATCATAAAAACCCTTCCCAAGTTAAACTACTTTTGGTAAGTGTTCATTCTGACAACGAGAATTTGTTGAGGGCTATTGGCAAGTTGGAAGAATTTGTTTTTGAAAACTGAAATTGGCAGGAAGTAATGACCCCAAGTGTTTTCTTTCTGTTGACACCAACCCCACACCCTTCTCTCTCCACACCCCACCCCCAGCACCCCCAAGCCAAAGCCAATAAATAACATAATTGGTCTCATACCATTTTTCTTGGGTTAATTCAAATATTGAAGCAGAATTTTACCCTTTCAGTTTTTCTTAACTGTGGAGCAAAGATTGTCAAATTCAGGGGGAATAAAACAAACTGTATTTGTCAAGCACTTCATGAAGGAATTTCTTGGTGATGTTTTTGCTTCCACCTAAATAAGTGTGAGCATTTCTTGTAGTATGAAGTGTCAGATTCCTGTGAGCACCTGCCTAATTGAATGTCAAGATGCAACTCAGTTGCAAAAAATAAAACAAGAAAGAGAAGTTAAAAAAAGCACACTATATGGGGATAAAGAAAAATAAACCATTTTTTCCCTAATGTGAATAGGCTGACAGATGAGACTGCCACAATCCAGATGTTGCCCAGTTTCTTATATTTATTAAATGAGAAAATGCAAGTAAAAGACTTAGAACCTAGGCCTAGTTAATGCTCCATCAATGAATAACTGCTTATTAGTTTTTTGTACCTTTCCAATTAGAAAGCAGCACCAATGAGCAAGATGAAGCTGACATTYAGAATACACTAGTGTGCGTGATGGCAAGTACCCGATGAGTGACATCCTGTGAATGAAGTCTACCAACAGCTCAACTATCACAGTGGATAACTTATTTCACTTATTTCTTTGGTGGGCGGGCAATGTTAGACCTGAGAAAGGTGATCACACTGAATCCACACAGCAGTGTCACACCACACTCAGTTGTGTTCCCCTTAGAAATTAAACTAAAAAGGTAACTTTTTATTGACACAGAATGAAGCTCGACTGAGAATAGTAGAAACTCTTGAAGGCTTTGATCTGGGCCCAACAGAAAAGTGCGTGAGAATCAACTCGGTGTCTAGCGGTCTTGCCGAGGAGGACCTTGAGACCCTTCTGCAATCCCGGGTCCTTCCTTCCAGCCTGATGCTACCAAAGGTGGAGAGTCCTGAGGAAATCCAGTGGGTGAGTAGCCAGTGTTTTGCTTAAAACTTGGGACCATCTAAGAAAAGGGATTTGGGTGCCACTGGTTTTGAGAAGGCTGCACGGATCAGAGACGAAGGGAATTGAGAAGGAGGAGTGAACACAAGCAGCCATCTCCTTCACCTGAGCGCCCACCTTTGCCTAGAGTGTTCTTTGGAACAATTGTCCTTTAGAAACAATGCTTGGTTTCCTAATCGGATCTGTGGTTTGGACAGAACTGGCTCCTTGCTAGCCCTCCCAGAGCTATCCCCTGGATGCCAGGTTGTCAGAGCACCACTCCTGCCACCRCTGTGTAGGCCCGGAGCCTAGGCCTCAACCAGGAAGGGTCATGACATAAATGGCTCTTACCAAGTTGCGTTTGAAATCGTCGAAGGCCTCCAGAGGACACCAGCCGCATATGAAAAAATGAACCCAACATAGGGRAAGAAAAGGTCACTCCTTAGGGCAACTAGAGGAATAAACAGGAAGCTTTTAACTAGTGGTTTTAATTAGCACAGATATTATTTCCTGAACAGTTCTCTAGTGCGTCCTTTTTAAATTGCTGACAGGTGTGTTTGTGTTTCATGACAGACTTTTCAGCCAATAAAAACCTGAAATGTAAAGTGGTTGGCATGTCAAATTACTTAAGAAAACTTCAGAATGGGCCCAATTATACTATGATTGTTTTAATTGTGAGACAGACGGGGGACAGGGCTAGATTTTTCTCTGGGGTTGTCAGTATTGTGCAGGTCTCTGACGAATGAATGCTATTCCAATGTGCCAATCTGGGGCAGAGCCTGCCAGATGTGCTGGATGTTTGTTTGGTGGGCAAGTGAGCTGAGGGGGTTCAAAGCCACATCTAGTGTTGTCTGGAAGGTTATGGATGTAAGCATAGTGATCCAATGAGGAGCTCTGATACCTGATGAAGTGCTTCCTTTTTAATAATCTGAATGTTGGGTCCAAGGCAGGGGCCACCTGCCACGTGTGGCTATTGAGCACTTGAAATGTAGCCAGTGAAAATTGAGATATGCTGTAAGTAKAAAATACACACTTCATTTTGAAGACCTGTACACCCCCCAAGAGGGGGAGAGAATGTAAATACCTCAATAATTTTCATAACGATTGCACATTGAATTAACATTGGAATCTAGTGGGTACAATGTAAGGTATTATGAAAATCAACTTCACCTGTTTCATTTTACTCTTTGAATATGCCAACTAGAAAGTTTAAAACTGTACTTGTAGTTTCTGTCCTAATTCTGTTGGATGGTTCTGTTGGATTCTTCTTGAAGCCCCGTTGTCAAGGACCCGGATTTACTTATTGAACTTGGAGTTCTCTCCAAGGGTATCCTCAGAAGCGGTGCCCTCAGATTCCAGAGTGTTGGTATCCTGAGGGCTCTGGCCCCATTCAGATATGACTTAGGTTGATGCAGATGGACTCTGAAGTCACTCTTGGCCTTTGGTTTCATCCTTGATGCCTATTTATCACGGGCCTTACCTTTATTTTGAGTGGGGGCTCCACCCCAGCCTCTAGCTGCGGCCTGTTTGCTGATTCARATGCTGGGTTGTGGGGAACCTGCTGCAGTTTAAATAGAACTTCTAGTTAACAGAAGTCTTTGGGGCTGTTTATTTTTTCCTCTCCGTTTGTATTTATGCGAAGCGTAAAGCCCAGAGCCTGATGCACAACTGAAAGATGGGCTTACTTGTTTTCTTTTGTGTGAGAATCTCTTGCTCGCCTTTTGTCGCTAGTGTGGGTTCTTGTTTGACTGGCACGGCTTATTGGACTATAACAAGCGTAACTCTGCCTCTTTTGTCGTGGGACAATTCTCCCACAAATCCCGAACAGTGTGCATTCTTCCAACACACTATTGGGTGTGCACTGGAATTGAAAGAATTGCTGAGCCCTGCTACTTCATCTCCTCCCCAATCTCTTTGTAATTTTTCCCCCTTCTTTTCCTACCCCCCTCCCCGGTCCCCTCCACCTCACTGAAATGAACACTTTACCAGGCCGGAAACATTTAATCGTCTCCTTTTGAAAAAAATTAATTGAAACTTCTCCACTAGTTACCTTTTGTGTTAGTACTTAATGCAATTTTTTAAGAAGGAGAGGGAGGGGGGGGGAGGCGGGGCTAGCATATTTAATTTTTAAATGCCCCTATTGGCTTAAAAACAAAAAAGCACCGCAGATTTTGCTCACTAAGAACAGGGACTCTCTTGTAAAGGGTTTACCTAGTTGTAAACATTAAGGTTTTTGTAGTTCTAACGGTTATCACAAAGCACTGGGCAAATAGGAGTTCAAGTTTTCTTTTTGGAAGGAGAAAAGAAAATCTCCGGCTACCTACTGAACGTCCAAACCACTAACATTTCACTACCCATTTTCTAGCTTAATTGTGACATAAATCACGTTGTATTTTCCTTTGCACCGAGTGCCATGCATTTTGTCCCCTTGCAGAGCGTACTGCCTCTGGTCCTGGCCGATTCGGTCATTCCTTCCCTGCAAAGTTCCAAGGAGGTGATGCTGATGCTGTCTGAGGAAGGGAGGGCAGGGAGCGACGGGAATCATTCTTCATTACTGAAAGCTGTGATTTATTTTAGCCTAATTGTAAAGTTACTGCAAATTGCTCAAAAGCTTTTTAAAGATCCCAGTGATTAGATTTTTTTAGGGGGGGTGTGCACAGGCGAGGAGGGGGCAGCTAAAAGGGGAAATAACACCTCTAATCCCGCTTCTGGTAAATAGGCTGCCAGCTTTTAAAATGAGTTTCCTTTCTATTAGTCAGAATATTATGCTAAGCCTTAAGCATTAGTTTTTTTATGTTGCCATAGCAGCCTTATTCCTGCAGGGTGGTGACCTGTGATGATTACAGTACAAAGCTTATAGGGTCTTGAAACCCCCTTTGAAGATGAAAAGTCTTTGATGGTTTATATTTATGCAAATCTCTTAGATATGATTTACCCAACTGAGACTGAATGGAGAGATGATTAAAATTCCCTTTTCCTTTGATATCCATTAATGGCTGAATATTCCTTAAATTTAAAATGGATATATATGTTTTCATCTTTATTTACAAAAATATCTTTATCATACCTGGGTTTCTTTTTTTTTTTATCTCCTCACATCTTATTAGATCTAGATAGACATAATAGATTTACAATTTAGATTGTGGGGTTTTTTTTCCCCCTTTTGAAAGGGGGGTGGGGGATCTGTGCGAGAGCTTTGTATGTTTCCAGATGATAGATTTTGGAATTTGGGCTACCCCACTGGCAGCGCAGAGCTGGCTGTGAACTGGTCTCATGGAAAAAATTGGCGAGCTTTGGTCTTCAAAGAATTAAACTTCCTTTTTAAGGTCTTCCTAGGTAAGCTAAAAAATTATGAAGAAACCCCTTCGGAACAAAGGGTAATGGTGCTGTAATGGACSGTGTGGACTCGGCATAGAAGGCCGGGGAGCACTTACACTGATGTCAGTGCCCGGCAGAAACAAAACAGGTAGAGCAGGGCCATTGTTTTAAGGGCCTACTATTTGCATTTAACGCAGAGGGCGAGAGGTCTCCAGTAAATATGTTTTCAAGGGAAGCATTTAAACTGGGGATCTCCAACTCCTAGGCCTCAAGTTGCTCCTGGTGGGGGTGGGGTGGGGGGGCGGCGACGCTCGGGGACTTTGCTATTTAGTTTGGTGGGAACTTTGTTACCTTTTTTCTTTGGTCTTTCCTTTTTTAAAAAAATTCTTTTATGTGGGTGAGGAGGCTGGGATATTACTCCCTCAGGTCAAAGATTTCAGTACTATTTCTATGTCTACATTGCAGTGATTGTTACTTCTGTTTTTATTTTATTTTATTTTTTACCACTAATCACCTGACACTTTTGATTTTAGTTTTCAGACAAATTTTCATTCCACTTAAAAGGCCGAAAACTTGAACAACCAATGAATTTAATCCCCTTTGTGGAAACTGCAATGGGTTTGCTCAATTTTAAGGTAAGAAAACCATAACGTGGTTACATAAGTTAGTGTTTATTTGTCACCTAAAGAGAACTTTCGTTTTCAATTTCAACATCTACTAACATTTTTTTAGAAAGATTTATAAGCAAGGTAAACCTTGAGCACCATTTATTTTCTTTATAGTTTAAAAGCCAGGTTTTCAGCATCTTAGAAAACAAAGAAATTGGTTAAGTAGAAAGGAAAAGCTTCCCACTCCTAAATATTTCAATGAAATATGCACATGTTCCCTAGTAATAATTTTAATTTTTAAAAAATCACTGTATACTATACCTTGAATTGTTAACATTTATAGATTAAATATAAAATAAATGGGAATTTTACAATAAATGTATAAAATAAATGGAAAATCTATTTTGTCACCTTAATGAGTTAACTTTGAATTGTTCTTTTTCTATCAATAGCTTTCCGTCGAAAAATTTTCTGGCCTCTTTGTAGCAGCATTATCCATAATATCTAGCAGATCAGACAACTATTGTTTTTAAGTTCATGTACACAAATAATTTGTAGTCCGTTATTTMAATTTGTCACATTGAACATAAAATATTTTCTAAAAACCACTTGGAGAGATTAGATGAGCCCGGGGTTTTCAGCCATCGAGTGACTGCTTTAAACTACCTGCCTGACCACATTCAGAGCCAGCTTGTGTTTTCCTTCTGTATCAGTGGGCATATATATTGTTTTCCAAAATATGCTTCCCATTCCACCTGACCTGTGAGCAGCAATCTAGCACCCCCTGCACCCCCTGCTCAGAGTTCCTAGCCCACCATTTTTTTTCCTCCCCCCTCAGAGAGCAGGAGAAAGAAATCACCAAAAACAAAAGAAAAAGGTAGTTGACCTGAACTGGAGAGAGAATGTGTGAGCAAATGCTCACTTTGAGACCTGTGGGATTATGCAGGAGGGGCCCAGTGCAAAAGTTTGGGGGCTGTTTCAAGCCTTGTCTCCTGAGCAGCTCTTTTACACAAATAACCACAAATTCTCCCAGCTGCCCCAGAAGCCTCGGAATATAATCAAAAGCACATCCCTCAGATGCAACCAGATTCATACAGTGATTTAATTTTAAGCACTGTTTTGCCATTTTATTTCATAATGTACTTAGGAGCCCTTGCAACACCTGAAATTAATCAACAGTGTCCCTACTGGTTCCTCATTTCTTTCCCACCCCCATATATATATATATATATATATTGGCAGGTTACATCTGCACCTTTCGGGATTCACAGTTATGTCTGCAACAAATGTTATTAATCTTGACTTTCATTTAGAAATGTCAGGGCTGCTTTATTAACGCGTTGTGGCTGACTTGTTGCACTTTTATTTTCCCCTCTGAAGTTGTAGGTTTTGTATTGTTTGTCTTTAATCCTGAGACCATTTACTGGATTCTAATGCAAATAATCCAATTAGTTTGATTTTAAAATTCCTTCCTTCTTTCCTGTGGCTTTATGTTTATTATTTAAGAGTCTCTTCAAGCAAAAACAAATTGGGGGAAAATATAAATAACTTAGCAGTAAAATCAAAAGTAGTTAACTCAAAGTTTCTCTAGAAAGTAGACAACTTAAAATTTGAACTATATTACCAGATTAATATATAACAATAGTATTTAATATCATCCACTAAGCAAAGTAACGATAAGCAGGATACTTATCTTGGGCAACATTAAATGACTTTTGGCTGCAGGGTCAGCCTGCCTTCAGGCAGACTGGGCTGGGAGCTGGGTCTTCCTGAGGTGCTGGGGCTCCTGTCTTATGCCTGCGTGTCTGTGAGAACTGGTTCTGTTCTGCTCTTTTCCAGGCAGTGTGTGAAGAAACACTCAGGATCGGACCTCAAGTGGGTCTTTTTCTAGATGCAGTTGTTTTTGGAGGAGAAGATTTTCGAGCCAGCATAGGTGGCAAAACCCTTTCTCTCTTCCTCTGTGTGGTGTGTGTGTAAGGGAGAGTGTGTGTGTATATGGAATTTTTTCTTTGCCTTTCAAGAATGAGCATTTACATAACAATGTATATTTACCAACCATGACAATGGCTTTTCATGACAATAGATAGACACCACTTCCTGATAATTTAGGGTTCCCCATAGCAGTCCTGCTTCAGAACAATACTTTACTACTCCTGCTCATTTATTAAAATAACTAATAAGAAGCCTGTTGCAGCCCCAGGCTCATTCAAGAATGGGGGCATCTACTTTTCTCCTAATAAATATGCTTTCAACCTCACGATTGCTTAAATATTTGGTCTTCACATGAGTCTGAGGGCTGCCGAAGTTTCCAAAACAAATTTAAGGCACTTTCATGTTGGTCGTAGTGAGCTGTTTTCTACATGAAATGTGGTAAATAAATTTAACATAGTGCCTTAGTTTATCTTACATGTATTTCAGAACCCTTTTCATTCGATGTCTACTGAGATGCTACTGGTTTCCTCTGGTTTCCCCGCTCCCTGGAGCACTCTGTTCTGGCCTGGGTGTGTGTGTAGCTCACTGGAGCCTGGGAGGGACAAGGCCGCAGAAAGTGCTTTTGGAACCACATCCCAGTGGCCTGGAGACACTTTGCCTGAGCAGTGAGTGTTGTGGTCCAAGTATAAACAGTGACACTCCCATCACCCTTCTAGGTGAAAACAGGAATTTATTTTAATACCAGTCTTTCCAGGAGACTCCTGTGTGGCCCACAGGTCAGTGGACTACAGAAGGCTAAGTGACACTTTCTGCCTGCCCCCAGGTACATGCCCTTGCCTTTCCCCAGTGCTCCATCCAGACCCTGCAGCTAAGGTACTTGGCTCAGTCTCTCGGCTGGGCCTGGGCATCGMAGTCCCTGCACGGTTAGGCCAACCCCAGCACAGGCCATCCTGTGCCCAATGTGAGAAGTAAGTGTCCATGCCCAGCCTCCTGGCCACTTTTTGTGGCCTTATCTTTGGACTGACACTTTCGGAGCCATGACCAGAAGGAGAAAATCTATCAGGAGCCACTGTGGCCCCGATTCCACCTCCTGGCAGGGAGTGGCTCGTCTTGGTGCTTGGCAGAGTGATTGTGTTGAAGGAAGCTTGCTAGTGAACAGACACATGGAGGCTTGGTGCTGCCTCCCTGTAGCTCTCTCTTGGTTCATATTKGAATAATCATTTTGCTGGGAACATTCCCAGGGAGACATAGATGTCTTTACAAACTGAGWTTTTATAATAGAGGTCTGAGTTTGATTTCCAAAGTTATGACCTCCCTTTTCTGTCCTCTTCCGGTTTTCAGGTGCAACAAGTAGTAAAGAAACCCAGGACATTCTCTACGCCCGACAAAAGATTGTCGTCGTAGCCAAGGCCTTTGGCCTACAAGCCATAGACTTGGTGTACATTGATTTTCGGGATGCAGACGGGCTTCTCAGACAGTCGAGAGAAGCAGCGGCCATGGGCTTCACTGGTATGATCCCTGATGGTACCTTAGAAAGCAGTGTCTAGACCAGCAAGCCTTCCAGAAAAACAGGAACGTAACCAGGAATCACGTTTCTCGTGTCATCATGCRTCTCACATACGCATTCCACTGTTGGGGCATGGAAAAGCCGAGCAGAGTGCCAACCCCCTGAGAAATTGTCATGCTTTTCTTTGGCTCTGCAAACCAAAAATCAAACCATTCATTCTTCTTTCCTCTTATATTTGTTACCATTTTTTTCCTGACCTCTATAAATATTTTATATAGTTTTCTCTGACGGAAGGGCAGAGTGACAGAGTGTTTTTGAGTAAACTGCTGTAAGAATTTGAGTTGACGAAGAAATTTTTTCTAAAATGGTCACAATATTGAATTAATTCTGAAAAAATTGGTGATATTTGCTGTGGGTTGTTTGTTTGTTTGTTGTTTTAATTAGTTATACATGACAGGTCRATGTTCTTGACATATCATACATCCATGGAGTTTTTTATTGTTTTGTTTTTGGTACCAGGGATTGAACCCAGGGATGCGTAACCACTGAGCTACATTCCTGGCCCTTTTTATTTTTTATTTTGAGACAAAGTCTTGCTAAGTTGCTTAGGGCCTCACTAAGTTGCTGAGGCTAGCCTTGAACTTGCAATCCTCCTGTCTCAGCCTCCCAAGTTGTAGGGCTTACAGGCATGTGCCACCATGTCTGCATTTTCTGTGATTTAATTTTTAATTATAACTTGTTTTTTGCTCTTCTGCCACTTCAAGCCCCTCCATCCCCTTCTACATCCCAATAAGTGTCTGTGTACTTGGTGACACCTGTGGGTGTCAGCTGGCACTAAGATCAGTGAGTTCCTTAAGGCTACCTTGGTGTATAGGTGGACATTGACAATTGGTGTATCAAATCACTAAAATACCCATGAACTTGGGGATCAGCCCAAAATTATGTTTTTGCAACAGAAATGTATTTTTTGAAAAATCACAATAGAATCCTATGCATAAACACATGTGTGCAGTGGACACATGCACATGCAAACACACACACACACACACACACACACACACACACACACACAGGCAACCAAGGGGAAAACATGATACATTCTTTTATTCTTATTTGTTCTCATACTGCAAGTTCTACGAATGTTAATACTAGAAACGTACCTGAATAATAAGGAAAAGAGACAAGCGTTTTGGAATTATATGTATTATGTTAGGGGTTACTGAAACACCTCTGAAAGTGCCCTTAAATATAAAAGATGTCTTAATAGATGATGATTTAACCTGAAGTAAAATTGAAAGACTTACAAAGCAATAGTATAGTTACGTTAGAATTAAATAAGCTCTGACGTTTTGTGTTTTTACCATAAAGAACTAAAATAAACATGAGCCCCCAGTTTTTTTAATTAAAAAATATGATCCCTTATAGAGAAACGTTTCTCAATTACGTGAGCTATTATTCATGAATCTTCCCTACATTTCCTAGTGATTGAGAAAGAGGGGCGTCCCTGTGCCATGTCCACGGGGCTGTGCTCGTTCCTGCCTCCTTTCAATGACTGGTTAGGATGTAGCCCAAATGCAGAAGTTGGAGAAAAGCTCCATGCAATCTATCTAATAGACCCAATGTTGTTGGCCGTGGATGTGTGGCATCGGCTGCCAGGCAGCCAGATGTGGCTCTGAAATGGGAACTAATTCATTGAAAAGAGAGCGAGCCCTGGTCTCTGTCAGCAGCCCTCCTTGCATCCTGGGTTTCCTTAGCTTCCTCTGGGGTCATGTTTGCCCCAGAGCTCCTAAGGGAGCTCCAGAGGTCCTCCAGGATGCAGGGCTAAATTAAATTGGTTCCCAATTCAGTCGCAGAAGACAGACCACTTCAAATCAGGCTTAAATTTCTAGACGGTGCCCAACTCAGCACGAGGAACTTATGAACCTGGCACTGTTGTTTCTCCACGACGGGGAGTAGTAAATCACAGCGAGATGGAGAAACGGAGGCGGGAGAACAGGGAGGAACCAAGGGCACAGTGCCCACCGCTATTCCAGTGACCGAGGCAGCAGACTGGGGGCGGGGGGGGGGGCACACCCCATGGCCATTTTGCAATTTTCAGAGAGAGAAGGTCTTTGTTGCCCGATTATATTTCTACATACTAATAAATGGTAATTAAAAGCATGAGATGATTTGAAGTAATTTTAAAAAAAAGAAGAAAAAGCTTCTACGAAGTACTTTAGACTTCTYATGATCCCATGATCTGTTAGCACGAATTGTTTGGCTTTTAATTGCCACACCTTGGGCCTTGCCCAAGAAGGGAGGAGAGGCAGGGAGGGAGAAAGAGGAAGTGTTGTGCCCACCTTCTGAAATACCCATCTGAAGCAGGTGGACGAAAGGCTTAAAGTCATATGGAAACACTGTTATCCATAGCACTGAGAAGGAAGACTGAGTCTGGGCTATAAGAATTATGTCCGTGAATATGTGCAACACGGACACAGGTACCTGCACACAGACATATGTTAATGAAGTCATTTTTTAAAGTTAGTCATATACTAAATAGTGGGCTATAGTTTGTTTTCTGTGGTGTTGTTTCATGGGGTCACAATCTATGTGGATAGATTTTAAATTAATACATTGGCTGTATAAATAGCTGTTAACATTAGGGTTTTTTAAATAAAAAGACACCCAAATAAAAATATTAGAATAAAGCTTTACTAACTGACTTGGTCACTGCAGTTACTCCAGTACTACATGCTGAGAAGAAAGATTATAAATATGAAGCACTATAGGTTTTCCTCTTTTTTGCAGTCTTTTGTAGAAGACAAAAATGACACCATCATACAGTTACCTAAAAGACTTGACAGGTATTGATTTAAAGCAAGATATATCAAGTGGTACTGTAAAAAGGATTTCATGGTCATAAATTTTAATGTCGTCCAATTTTGTACCCTCTCAGTAACTTGCCAATAACAACTCTTCTGGATAAAATATTTGCCTTGTTCTCACATTAAAGCCTGTTAGACAGTTGTTGGAATATGTACCATGCAACAGAGAACTTCACAAGTGAATGTACATGGATTTCTAAAATCTCACATGCATCTTAAAATTATCCTCATTATCAAAATACAGGTACTTGAGTGCCATCAGTAATTTCACAATATTTTAAGTAGTTTATGCTTGCTTCTCAAATCATAGTGCCTGACTCAGAAGTTCTCATGAAATCTAGCTTTTTACACATCAATGTAAATTATGTCTATAAATTATGAAATTCAGGGCTAACAATTAGTAGGAAATAACCACAGAACTGACATCTTTTATTAATAATATTGCAACAGCGATTAGATTACTTAAATATAATTTCAACACCTACTATTGAAAAGATGTTTCGTTTATCATTCATGTTATATTTCTAGAAATTATTGTTCAAATAATTTAAAGCATCTTTATTTACATGTGTTTATTGTTTATAGTATTTTWTATATATTTTTTATTATTTTTTATACTATTTATTTTATAGTATAAAACAGATAAGAATGAAATAGCAAGGTGAGGCTATTTTAATTATGCTGTGATAAAGAAAACTATTGTTTTATCTGTCCACTTAAACCTCTTTTCATGAAACACTAAAAATATATATTTTTTACATTGTTCCTTTTTCTGTTCAACAAATGACAACACTAACAGAAATTTGGCATTTTATAAAACATCCAGGATATAATCTGTACTGGCAAAACATTAATAAAACAACTATTTCAAAAGCAAAGCAAATTACTATGCCAACAAATAGATTGAGCAGAGTAAGCAGAGTAAATGACCATTAAATGTACATTCACTTTTAAGGAGGCATATTGTGTCTATAACTTTATCATGTAATATAATATAATCTCATCATTATATAACATTAAATTGCATTTTATTAATGATCTGATTAGACTCCACACTTCCTGATTTTTAATTTATTTTTTAATGACAACACTATTTCATAGAATCCTTTGACTCATATTATATTTGTATTTATGTTTTTATTAAAATCCTTAARTTTCAAAAAGAGTTCTAAGTACCTTTGAAGACATTTCTACAGAGGTAGGGTTTCTTTTGGGGGTATGAAAGGTGCTTTAAGGGGAAAGTAGCCAATCTCCATTCCATAAGCAAAAAGGGGAAAATATGGATTTTTTTTTTTGGATAGAGAAGTTTTCTGAAATTTTTCTTTTCTAAAAGATTTAAATAGAATAGTCTAGAGTCTACAGTACTCAAAGCTGYCTTCTATTTTGCTGTACTGAATATACTATTTTCATTGAAATCCAATTTTCTACTAGGGGTTAGAAATGACACATGTTCATCCTAGAGAAAGAAAATTAAACATGTCAATGTAAGACAGTATTAGATAGTAATATAGTTGTAATCTCTGCTCTGTAAGCTTTATGAAAACCCACATACCACTTCTACAAGAAATCATGGAAGTGGCATAATCCTACAAAATAAGTAAAAGATAATTTCTAAAATTCGAGGGAATTTCTATGTAATTTCATTCTACTTTAATTCAAAATTAGGACTCTAATTTGGAGACATTATCTTTTAAAGTGCCAGGCAAAGCAGTTATTCACGAGCTKCCTCAGTCCACCTGTAAGTAAAAATGAGAGATTATCTGCACCGAGGTGGCATTTCTATAGGACCCGAAGCACAATTACTTCCATTGTTGTGTTTGTTCTTATGTGGGATTCTGGAAAAGCCTGCCTGATTGCAGGGGTTTTTTTTTTTCCTTCAGTAAAAGTTCTAAATTAGTTATTTAGCATCCAGTCTATGAAGCATTCAGGAACCTCTTATAGTGGAAACATTTTGTTGGAACATTTCTCTGTTGAGCTTCCGATGTTATTCATCTCCTCGTAGGTAAGCAGGTGATCCACCCTAACCAAATTGCCGTGGTCCAGGAGCAGTTTACCCCTTCCCCAGGAAAAATCCAGTGGGCTGAAGAACTGATCGCTGCCTTTAAAGCACATCAGCAGTTAGGAAAGGTAAATGTTTTTCTAATGCCTTGGGTGAAATTGGTGTTGAAAATACTATGGGGAAGAATGAGAAAAAAAGAAAGAAAGAAGTATTGTTTGAATGGTTTTAAGGAAACACATTGTACTGGGGATGGTGGTGAAGGCTGGAACAGAAACAGGATTCAGCAATGAGAGGGTTGCTAAAGGTAGATTTGCCCTTCCTCGTCCCTAAATATCTTACCAACTGGCTCTCAGGTCTCTCCTTTTATTCTTTTCATAAAATATATTGGCAGCCCTAGAGAAAATAGAAGTCTGTTTAGTTTTTCCTCTGTTGATTTCAATGCAGCATTCATATGAAAATAATTTTAGATCAAAGTGAGAGCAAGTTGTAATGAAATAAACACAGTTTGACCAAATGGTTCTTGTGGAGAAAAGAAATAAATTTCAAGTTATTTTAATTTGGGGGGGGAGTACAAAAATCTCCCCCGGTTTAGTCATTTAAGAGTGGGAGGTTGTATATGTGTTTGTACCAATTTCTGGACCTGAGATTTGGATAGAATAGAAAGCAAATTAACACTGGAGTACGGTTGTTCCTAATTTAGTGCATCATTGAGTCTCGCGTTTCCTGCTCTGTGGGTTTCTGCTATGTAAATATTGCAATGGTGATGCACAATCTGTCTCCACTTTGTGCCAGTAACACTTAAATTAGGTGTCGCCTGAAGGAAGATTTTATGCTAGTTGCAGCATTGTCAGTTAATTATCTTAAAGGTTATTTGCAATAATACCGTTTGCCTCTTTTTAAGAGGCTAGGAAGGAAAGTTGCATTTATAAATCTATCCTAGAGGTAATCTCTAAAACTCAGCCTTCTGACTTCCATAAGGAATTAAGTTTTAGTGTCTTTTATGAAAAATTACTTAGGAGAGAAAGAATATTAAAAAATTATTAAAGTTCGAAATGTTAAACATTTGCTCTTGCAAAATAAATAAAGAAGAAAAAACTGGCTTTCGGTGTTGAACCTGTGACATTCACGTGAGAAGTCTCTCTTGCACTTTCACTGGTAAAAGGAACACCTGAAAATCCCAGGACTTGCAAAAGTGGGTAACAATATTAAATAGGTCATTCCCTGTGGATGTCTGACTTCACCCTTGACCATGCATGCGTGCTCACACTTATACACACACACACACACACACATACACACACATACCCCACAGGTTCATCTTTGCACAAACTCACACTTAATATCCAAAGGCAGGGCTGAGGATGTACCTTAGTGATAGAGTGCTTGCCTACCTAGTATGTGCAAGGCTCTGGGTTCAAGCCTCAGCACCACAAAAAAATAAAATTAAATTAAAATTTTTTAAAAAATCCAAAGSCAGAAGTCAGAATATGTCACATTGAATACAGTCAATTTGGACATACATCAATTTCATGATAAATAGTATCCTTTCATTTCACATTGACAATAACCAGCAAAAAGACAATGCATTTCAGAGAAAAATATTTTAAAATTGACATTGTATTTTATGTCCATTTCTATATCTTAGCCCAAAGCAAGATCCTTCACAAATAAACATAGATATTTACCTAGAGAGAAGAGCCATGGACTCTTTCATTCGTATATGCAAACAACTCCATCCATTTCCTCTCTCACATACCTGCCTACACACACACACACACACACACACACACACACACACAAACACACACACACACACACACCTCTCCCTCTGCTCTGGACCTTATGCCAGCTACAGTGTGCAGGGATAAACACTTCCTAGTGAAGTAGTAAACTGAGGCAGCACCGCGTGTGCTGCTTGGAGGCAGGCAGCAGACTAGCAGTGTGGGCTGACACTGCCTCAGTGAACCATCCCAACTAGGTTTCATGTTGGAGTCCACTTGGCCTTGTGAGCAACTGGGCTGTGGAAGGGGCCACCCTAAATTTCACCAGCCAGCAAACAAAGGTCAAATCAGAACCATTCTTTTCTTGGCATTTAAGTTCTTCAGTGAAGAAAATCACCCTTTCCCATTGTACATTGAAAATGCTGCCAGGGGAAATTGTCCCCCAGTTGTCATGCCTTTTGATGATGGCAACTTAAATATAAATTCTGAGCTGTTTTGTTTTTTAAATAAGAGATGTCTCTGTTAGGGCATGGGCTTTCACAACAGTTCGGCAGGACGGCTTTTCTTAACACAGTACTGCAGAAATTGGAGAGGACAGACCAACCATTAGGTCATTTCTTCCCTGCCCCATTCGCTGAGGCTTGTTTCTTACAGCAAATTCTCCTGGTGCTTTGTCCAGCAAGGTTTCAATGACTGGTGTAATGGGGCTTCCAGTAGGGACACATGGCTATTTTATCCAGTTAGCATGTTTCTTTCAYTTTGCCTGTAAACTTGCTGGTCAAAAAAATTGGGACTGCAGGTAGGTGACTCTGGGTCTTGAGAGGTTCTTGGGGTTTAAATAGTGTGGGTTCTGTTTGCAAAGATTTCACATAAATAGGTCGCTCAGTTGTGGAGATATCGCCTCCAACAAATATCTAATCTGTTCTATTTGAAATGTGAGTCGCTGATGGCAACGTGAACCCTTGGATACTTTGTCCAAAGCACAGATGACTCTCAAAGATGGGAAACTGATGGCCCTTGTCCCAGTGAGACACTCAAACTCCTAAGAGACCTTTTCCTCTCTAGTGAAAATCTCATTCGAGTAGTGTTTTTAGGTAGAAAGGACCCAAGAAGGCAAGAGTGTAATTTTCACTGTAGCCCACTTCTTCCTGCTCCCATCTTAAATTATATTTCTAAATACCCAAGGCATAGCTGGAGCTCACAGCTAATGCTGGGTCACTTGTGTTTTCTGCAGTAAAAATAATAATCATTATCATTATTATTTGTCAAAAATAAAAGTCCTGCTTTTTCTTACTAACCTTTCGAAATTTCACAGGAATACTTAGGGGGCAAGCAGATAAATCTTTGATATCATAGAATTTTATTTTAATTAGAAGTTCAGTGTAATGTCATTTGACAAACATTTTATGTTCAAAAAGTAATGATAATCAGATCATTTAATCTAGTACTGTCTGTCAGATACTGAAACTTGGAACTGTGTTGTTTAAAAACTCAAAAATATTTTTTGGGCTAAAGAGTTTTGCTTGGCACAAGGCTCCCTGTGAGTAAGAATGGGGGTAACAGATTGATACTGGGGACTCCAGGCTATCTTCTCTTACTAAAATGGTTCAGAAAAAGTTTGAACATTCTACATAGTCTAGCTCCCATCTTAATTTCCAGAAATTAAGATTTTTAATTTAACTGACATCAGTTGTAAGATATTCCTCTACAATATTAGTCAAACTATGGGGCTCAGTGGCAAAGTTCGATCCTCAGCACCACATAAAAATAAATAAGATAAAAGTATGAGTTCGCCTACAACTAAAAAAATTTTTTTAAATATATTAATCAAACTAATTCTTTTTCCATAAAAAAATGCATTTTGAGATAAAATCTATATGTCATAATTATTTTAGCTTCAAACTATTTGGTAAAATAATTTAGCCACAATAAACATCTATGTGATTTGCTTTAAGTTTATAAAGGATTTTCTTAAAAAATTGATTCCATTTCTTATGTTATTTTTCCATAATAATGGTAATTTCAACAATATTTGAAAATTCTCCCTTCAGAACTGAATTTAGTATTCACTTACTAAAGAAATAGGATTATTGCAGTTCTTTTTTATCAACTAGGAATTTTATATAATATGAAAATTGGACAATGAAAATGAAAACTTCTCAAGGAAATCATTAGTTAATATTGATAAATAAAAAGTAGAATTTATATAGAAAAATACAAATATTAATACAGTATCTATATATTCAAGTATGTTTGATACTATGTTTTTTATTTCYATATTAAGATATTAAGATTTATTCTTTCCTTATTCCTAATTTGTTAGGCAAAAATGACAGTTAATGAAAACTGTCAGTTACTTTTGAAAAATGATCTCCTGTTACAGGAAATCTTAATATAAGAATTCACATTTCTTTTTAAAATGGAGATTCTGAGAGAAAAGTGTGAATGAATAGCAAAAAAAAAAAAAAGTATATATGGACATAGATATACACATACACAGATAGATTTTTTTTTTTTTTTTTTTTTTTTGGTGCTAGAGATTGAACCCAGGGCCCTGTGCTTGCGAGACAAGTACTCTACCAACTGAGCTATATCCTCAGCCCCGATAGATTTTTAAAGGTTACTTTGCTAGACTATTCATACTTGTGCTATATCTGGCTACAAATGTGGCTTTKCTTTATTTTCAGTTTTTCAAGGAGTGTTTTATTCATGTCGTTGCTGAAAGTGCTTTATTTGGGTTTGGCAGGATTTTGCTTAACTCTTCAACATCTTTCATTCATTATAGCTTCATAAACATGCTAAAGACCAGAAAAGGGGAAGTGTTCATCTTTAAAAATCTACGTTCAATTAACAATTACAAAGGTCAAAAACAAGGTCACTACCTGATGTAACAACTGTAAATGTCACATAATGGAAGCCTTCTAACTTCGATCATGAGAGAACAATAGTGCAGATTAATGACTTAACATTAATAAGCACATCCTATACTGGAGTATAAATTAGGAACTCATCTCTTAATAAAGAAAGAAAACAGAAAGTAAAAGTCTTTTTCTCATGTAAGTCTCTTCATCTAGAAAATCATAAACAGTAATAAATCCCCCCTCCTAATATCATAAACCAATTCTTTTCATGGGCATTCGATTACGGCTCGCACACCTTTCGCCTATGTTTCCAAATTCGAAGCTTTACAAAAGAAATACTGCTTGGTCCAGATGGCCTTCTCGAAGGCTCCCTGAGAGAACTCAGGAGAAGTCTCTCTAGCCAAAAATATTGTTTCCGCTGATTCGAGTGCCAGAAGTCCCACTGCCACCCTTTCACGCAGATCAAATAAACCATCTAAAGATTTGGTTGTTGTCTTTGTCAACTGAAAGGGTTGATTCCACTAATAGACGGCAGCATGCCCTCCC